TCCTATACCATACCTTCATTTTCCAAGATGTACTGTTTTTGGTATTGATTTTCTGTCCAGCAATATTGTCTAAAAGCATCTGTCACATCTGAAACATGATCCTTCAAGACCATCGATGTGGAGCCCGATTTCACTCAAATAGCGATGTTTTGAGCTCCTCCTTTCCTATCGTAATCCATTTTGTTTGGTAAGATGTTGCTGCTCTAAAAAAGCAAAGACCCTACTAAGTAATAGTAGTAGTAGCTATATTGTTCTCCCAAGTTTGTCATATCAGTTCTCTTTATTTTCAACTTCTCTCTCTTTTTCTTAACCCATTTCTTCAGGGTGTCTATAAAGTGATGTTTGATCTTTACCAATGCATCTTTGCATTTCCCACGCTGGTCCTGCAGTTTCTGTTTTTACCTCTGTTCATATTCCATTCCATATTCTGTGGCTGTTGATCCACTTTGCATTCCTGTCATTGAAGTAGACTGGTGATGATGTGTGATCTTGATAATGTTGTTGGATTCATTTCAGGTGTTTCTTTGGGAATTCTGCATTTTTCCCTCTCATAGGAACAGATGTACAGTTTTTGTTGAAGTTCTTTTATTCCAATCAAATTTTCCAATGAAGTTTTCCAGTCAAGGTAATGCTAATTTTAGGGATTCAGTAGGGCAGTGTTCCTGGCCTTCTATGTCAGATAAGGTCTGGATTAGGTCTTCTGTGCATATATGAGAGATCTTAGTGTCTTCAGTACTGTATTCTCCTGAGAAAGTCCCCTCCCCATCAATAAGGACAAGTATCTTCCATACTCTCTCTTCTACCAGAGTCAAGTATTGAATTTCCAGATCCTCAATCCATTTGCAATTGGGTTTGGGCAGGTTGAGAGATAAAGATTTAGTTTCCGTCCTCCACATAGACCTGTGCAGTGTTGGAGACACATTCGTTGTAGGTTCTGTCATTTCTTCAATGCTTATTCTTGGCCTCTTTTTCTAAATGCACAAGGCCATATGTGCATGGACGTTACGTCCCATTTATCATTTTTGTTCCACGTTTCCACATATGAATGTGTCTTTTTTTAAGCTGAAACAATGCTCTGTTTATTAAAATAGCTCTGTTGTAGAAATTGAAATGCAGGATGAAGGTGCCTGATACATTTTTTCATCTTCTCTATTATTCTGGATATCCTGGGTTCTTTGTGATTTATTATGACCTTTCAGATCATTTTTCAATTTTTGTGATAATTTTACTGGAAGCTTGGTATGGATTTCTTTGGATTTGTAGATTTGAGTTGTAAGATGGCCATCTCCACAGTATTAATTCTATTAATTCATGACAAGAGGTCTTTCATGAGCACAAGAGGTCTAACAAACTATTGGTATCATTTAAAATTTTTGTCCAGTGTCTTAAAGATTTCATTATAATCCAGAGTTTCATTGACTGGGTTTGCTTTTTTTCCCCATGGTATTTTTTTTTAAAGCATTGTAAATGGTTTTGTTTCCTTGATTTCTTTCTTGGTATGTTTGTCAATTTCTGTATAAGGAACAGCTCGTATCTGGATCCTCATGAAATTAGAAAAATTTAGACCAGCAAATTCCACTATCATTTTAGAATAGATGCAGCCTAGAGAATGGGAAACAACCTTCACCACGTACCTCTCTGACTGAGGGTTGGTGTCTGGAAGAAACAAAGAACTCAAAGATTCTTAAGAATAGGAAGAACCCATTAAAAGAATAGGGTGTAAACGTGAACAGGGAATTCTCAAAAGATGAAATAAATGTCTGTTCGATGACAAAAACCGATAGGAAATCCAGGAATGCTGAGGGTGGAAGAATCAGCTTTCTCCAGGGAACAGCTCTCTGTGACATGACTTAATTACAAGTGGGCAGTCCTAAGCACATGTACAGATGAACACCACCAAATGGACTCAGTGCATTTTAAATATATATACATGTACATTCTTATGTGTGTGCCATACTAATCAAAGAAGAGGCCAAGAATGTGAGAGGGAATGGAGGGGATGTGGCAGGAATTGGTGGTGGACTGTAAATGTTGGAAATAATGCAAAGACAAAACTCATGTATGAAGTTCTTAAAAATGTACAGAATCCTTCATCTTTAGGGAAATGCAAACTATATGTACTTTGAGATTTCTTCTTAAGCCAGGGAGAATGGCAAAATAAAAAAAAAATCTGCAAATGCTAGTTTTGGAGTCAAAAGATACAAGAGTGAGTACGTTGTTGATCCTTCCACTGCAGTTGAAGCTGCTGAAGCATGGCACCACGTAGAAGAGTCCCTGCATAAAGAAGGTCCTGTCATGACAAGATGCCCCCAAAAGCCATTGTGTGAACCTGTGAAAGTTATGTCCTGAGTGCAGGTGGAACCCCCGATGGTCCTGCAAAGTGGGAATGGAACCAGCCTCCCCTTGAAACCAAAGTCCTAGACATCCAATATAGAGCTATAGTTTGTGTGTGTTTCCCCTAGTGGTTTAGTGTTTCTTAGTTTCAGTTTTTTCTCACTATGCCTCGCATTCCTCCAGGAATGGGAATGCATATTCAGTGCCATCGTATGTGTAAAGTATGTAATTTGCCTCTTTTGATTTTATATGGAAAATCTATTGATTTTCCAGTAAAGACATTCCCTGAGCCTCACACTGGACTTTGGAATTTTGAATGGTGTTGAGATTGGTAAAGATTATGGAGTCTGCTTAAGTTGAACTAAATGCACTTAGCATTATGATATGGTCACAGTACTGTGTATTCAAAGCAGGGACTGTGTTCGTTTTAGGGAGGAAAGTCCCCCATAGGCTCATGTATTTGAACACTGTGTCCAGTTGATGGCATTGTTTGGAGAAGATTAGGGAGTGCAAAATTGTTACAGTTATGCAACTGAGGGAGTGTTTTGAGAGTTTTCACACTTGCCCCCATGTACTTTTCTCTCTGCTTCCTGGTCTTTCTGCTTTGGACTTTTGCCAACATCTCTGTCTGCTGTCTTCCCACTTTGCCATTTTGAACCCAGTCTCTGGAAATGTAAACCATAATAAACGTTCATCCTTAGATTGATTCTGGTCATGGTAGTTTATCACAGTGAAAGCAAATACCTAAGACAGAATGGGAACCAGAGGGTGAGATGTTGCTGTGAAGATCCTGACCATGTTTTCTGGAAAAATGTGGAAGGATTTGGAACTTTGTTTTTGGTTGATATATATTATCACAGCAATGTACAAGTAAGTAGCACACATTCTGAGTGAAATACTTCGACCCAGAAACAAAAGTGCCAAGTTTTCTCTTTTTTTCATTTTGTACATTACCACTGAGTATTTACATGTGTTTGTGTGTTTCACTTGGAATATGGAGACATCTGGCATTAGTGAGGGGCCATCAGGGATAGAGTCTTTCAAAGAGAGAAAATATTCACAATTGTTCTATGTCAATTTCTTTTTTTAACATATATTTCATTTATTATTTTTGGTTTATGTGTATGATTGTATTGCCTGCATGTATGTGAGTGCACCTGTGTCATTCAATGAGATGGAAGTCAAAAGTGGGCTTCAGATTCCCCTGGGACTCGAGTAAACGGGGGTTCATAGCCACCATGTGAGTGCTGGGAATCAAACCCAGGTCCTCTACAAGAGCAGTCTGTTTTCTTAACAACTGAGCGATCTCTCCAGCCCCAATGAATTAGTCTTTTACTCTTATGTAGTGATCATTTTGTTTGTTCTACACTCATTTGCTTACAGTGTGCTTTATGATACATGGGAATTAACATTCTAAATTGTTTATGTATTCTTTTTAACTGGTCATTTGATTTCCATAATTCATTCTGATTTTCTGGATATCCATGTCAGTGAAGCGTGTTTCTTGGACAGAAGAGAAACTTTTCTCTTACTTGAACGTATTCTAGATTCTGTCTTCTTATTGGTGACCCGAGGCTGTATTCATTTAACAATATTATTAAGGATTTTTTAAACTTTATTTATTATTTTTATGTATATGCATGTATTACCTCTATGTAGTTAAGTGCACCTGTGTTGTGGAATGCTGCTGGAAGTCAGAAGAGGCTGTCAGATCCCCTGGGACTGGAGTTGCAGATGGATGTTAGCTGCCATGTGGGTGCTGGGTTTTGAACCCGGGTCTTCTGCAAGAACAACCTGTGTTCTTAGCTGCTGAGCCATCTCTCCAGCCCTGAGAAAGGAATTTTATTCACTATGATTTTGCTGGTGTTCTGGCTATTGAAATCACTGAAAGTCACTTCCTTTTATAATAGTATTAAAATTGGCCTTATTTTGCTTTTTGTGTTGCTACTGGTGGATTCCTTCTGGGACATACATTCATCAGTTACCCTTTACATTCTATTTTGACTTCTGTTCCCATGAATGAGAGTGTCTTTCTCCTCTTTGTACCCTGTTTGCTTCCATAAATTCTGAACTCCCAGCTTGCTTGCCATGTATCGGTGCATTTCTTCAAAGTCCTTTCCTGATCCATCAAGTTGAAGAGATACCTTCTCTGAAAGTCAATTTTACTTAATATGTTTACTTTCAGTAGGTTAAGTGTATTTTGACATTATTTCATGCTTTTCTGCCTCTGGTCTTTGTTGACAAAAGATCTGATATTATTGCAAACTTTGCCCTGCCTTGTAATGAGTTGGTATTTCCCCAATTAGATCAAGTATTGACTTTTTACTTACTATTATTCGCATGTTGCCTGTGACTTGGAATGCAGAGCTCTGTCAGGATTTATTTGAACTCTGTAAATGACACTCACTTTTGTGATTATATATCCATTATTTCTCTATTTTTCATAAGGATTTACTTCATTTTTATGGAATAACTTTCCTCACTTTTGTTTTGATTTCATCTTCCTCTTTTAGTTGACAGATTTTTATTTTGGCTCACTTAAATGTTTTCAATGTTGTTGGAAATTTTATTCATGCTAGTCACATGTTCCTTTATTTCTCTTAATGTGTGATCACCTCAGCCTTATTCTCCATATCAAAATGCATTCTTTCATACTTTTCCTGCAGATCTCAACTCTTAGAAGAGAGCTGAGAGTTTACAATATAGAGGGATCCTACAGTTTTGAAGAATGTGACCAGTGGTTTAACAAGTCCTCAAAACTTATATGCCATCAAAACATTCATACTTGGAAGAAACTCTACAAATGTGAAGAATGTGTCAAGTCCTTTCATCTGGCCTCAACTGTTAACAGTCATAAAACTATTCATACTTGGGAGAAACTCAGTAAATGTCAAGAATGTGACAAGTCCTTTAGCTAGGCCTCAAATCTTACATGTCATAAAAATATTCATACCGGTATTTTATTTTTTTTAATGGCTATTGTGAATGGGAGTGTTTCCCTGTGCTCTTTCTCTGACTGCTTGTCATTGGTATATAGAAAGGCTATAGAATTTTGTAGGTCAATTTTGTAACCTGCCACTTTACTGAATGTGTTAATAAT